TAATAATCTATTAATGTAAGTTAAATGAGATAGTGGGATACATGTTAATACTTTGAAGATTTTTTTTAATATACATATATAATTCATATTATGGCTTACCCTTTAATTTTGGAGAAGCCTCGTCGTAAGTGCTATTTGTGTTTGTTTTCTTTGATAAAATTTGCTCGTTAGGTAGTTGTTAAACTAACTGATATTAAAGTCTAAAGTCGTTGGTTCGTAATGCATTAGTCTTCTAAAGTGCCAATAGACTAGCTTTGAGTTATGTTGTTTCCTCATCCAAATCACGTCAAACTATTAGTATTTACCAAGCATAATCCACAAAGAGTGACATTTTAACAAATCATGTTTCTTTTTTTTTTTTCTTTTTTTTTTTTTTTTTTGGAAAGAACAACAAATCATGTATTTGAAAAGTGGGATGTGTTTTTTTATTTTTTTTTTCCAACCTAATTCATGCTCTAATCCCTCTATGAAAAAAGATATTTATCCAATCCACTCCTCCATTGCAACCTATATTTGTTTTGGAAATTTATACTACCTCCGTTTCATATTTTTTGTAAATTTAGAATATTTTATATCTTATAAATAATACCCCTAAACTGCAAAAAATAAGAAACGGAGGTAGTAATTCATTTCTCCAATTGTTTATTTGACCTAGTTATTCACATGCTCCCTTTTAACCGTCTTTTGTGAATTATTTCGTATAGGAAAATCATATTTTTGTGAGATCTTGTTAGAATAGTCTTCATAAATACTATCATAATATTTAATTTTTAAAATATTTATTTATTAATAGTTGACGATACTAATGCTTAAATTTATGAAATATCTAATTTTATACTATTTTGAGTTTTTGACATCGTAGATAACTTTGCCTTTGGTAACCACTTGTACGTTTACAAAAACTTTTGGGCACAATAGGTAGGGGTTAGTGTCAAGGGTTTTCGAAACGTTTAATTAAACCGGTTAACACGAACCGACACGGTTACAATAACAGCTCAGGTTAGTGTTGAGATTCCTAATGCGAAATTAACCCGACTCAACCTTCCTAAGAATAAAACCCTAATAAATTATGAAAATTTTGATAAATTTATCAAATAACATGACACGAACCGAATACGAAAAAGCGGGTTAGTGTCAAGGGTTTTTGGACACATTTTATGAAACGGCTAAACATGACACAACACGTAAATTAAATGGGTCGGGCTAGTGTTGAGGCTTCTCAACCCATTTAATTTCGCAAACAACACGAACACTACACGACTTGGTTGCCAACTCTAGCACTAGGTGTACAATAATTTTATAGTGCATCTCTCAGTTTGAGGTAAATTTTAACTACTTTTATACATTAGGAGTAATTTTAACGGTTAACTACATTGGTGAAAGAGATTTTACTGGTAAAGTAAAAAAAGGAAAGATTAATTAAGTAAATGAAGGGAAGTGGGAGGAAAATCACTTTACAAAATTTTGGCTTTCCATTTATCTCAAAATTGAAGGAATTTGACATGAAAGAGAAAAAAAAAAAAAGTTTGTAAATCAAATTTTCTTCTGTTCCCTTCATTTCCTTTTATTACCCACGCATTTGAAAATATATTTATTTTATCTTCTATTCTTATCCTATCTCTTATGCCTCCTTTCCAGACTCAAATTCCTTAACTAATAGAAAAATTGAAAACTAATAATCCCATCTTTGAGTTTTCTGCTCTAAACAATCACACATTTTTTAAATCTGGAAATAATCCCACCTTTGACCTATATCTGCTCAAAATGAGTCTTTTACCGGTTTGTCAAATTAGTAACTTGTTTAAGAAGGTTACTTGATACGTGTAACCTTTTTATTGGTTTTCTTTTTTTTAAAAAAAAAGGATAATTAAAAAAAATAATAAAAAAAACCCTTTCCCACTTGCCCTTTGCCGGACCACCAAGCACACAACCCCTGCTCCATCATTCACCAATAAGCTTTAATAGCCACAACAACTCCGATCAACTCACGCACAGCCGCAACCCACAACCACCTAACACTGCAGCCCGGAATCTTCAGTAACCTCCACATTTCCACCACTCGCCACCACAACACCGATCAGCTCACGCTCATCCCACGCCAACCACCTGACCAAGCCGCAACAACAACGCAGCCACCAGCCACACCAATCAACAACACTAATCACTCCCTTACCCTCGTCACAAAACCACCATTGCCGCCCAACAATAGGCAAAAAAATAGAGCAAAGCAAGAAATTAATGAGGTTTGGGCGAATTGAGAATTTGTTCGATCGAACCAAGCAAATTCAATTTCACCCAAAGAACCTGTCTCGAATTTCGGCCGAACGTACCCATGGTTCGACACTTCGACCGAACGGTGGTGATTTGACGATGCCGATTTTCGATGATGATGAACAACGGTGGTGATTCAATGATGAAGATTGATGATGAATTTGATAGTGTTTGAAGAAGGGGATCAAAGTCCAAGTTGGAGCAGCCAAATTGAAGAAGAAATAGGGGGCGGGTTTCGTGGGTTGCTGGGGTGGTCGGGTTTCAGGTTGGCTGGGGTGGTCGGGATTTTAGGGTGGTTGGTGTTAGGGGCGGGGGTTTTGAGGGTGGATGCGGGTGGTCAGGTTTCAGGGTTGCTGGAGTTGTGCTTAGCTATGGTGGGGTGGTCGAGGTTAGGAGAGAGAATGAAGGTGGTGGGGTGGAGTTAGGGTGGTGATGTGGTGGTGCTTATGGAAGGGTGGTGGTGATGTGGTGGTGCTTATGGAAGGGTGGTGGTGGTTATGGTGGTGTGCTAAGGTGGAGATGAGAGATTGAAAAAAAAAAATTAAAAAAATTAAAAAAAAAAAAATAAAAAAAAAATAATCTGTTAAACAAGTTATAGGTTAAAAGGCTCATTTTGAGCAGATGAGGGTCAAAGATGAAATTGTTTCCGGATTTCAAAAAGGTGGGATTGTTTTGAGCAGAAAACCCAAAGATGGGATTATTAGTTTCCATTTTTTGTTACTAATATTCAACCAAATAAAGCTAAAGAAATAAAGGCTAAAGAAATATATAACTCTATTTTTATATTGAGGTAATTTGAACTATTTTAGGACAACTTTGTATCCAATGTACAATAATTATTCTACACCCTACTTTGTTCAATGTTGTTATAAAATATCTAAATGTGGATGACTATTATCCCATATATTATCTAGAACATTCTAGAGTTGGGTATTTGATTTTATCCGATGATGGAACCCTATATAATATACATGTATATATATCCCCACTCTATGGAATAGTAAACTGATCTATTCTCTCTCCATCTCTCATATTATCTCCTTATTTTATAATACGTTATCAGCACCATTGTTCTACATTGATTTCAATATCAATTGAAGCATCTCATACGACAATCAAAGTAATTCCCAACATACTCTCAAATTTTTCCCCAATACTGCTACCCCTTGATTTCACGAACACCAACCAGAAAAGTAATTTCCCAAACCCCTCAGCCGATACCACCAATTCTTGTTCGTTGGGCTTGTTTTTACTCATTCTTGCACTCTAATTTTTAGGTAACTAGTACTATTCCTTAGATTAGATTTCACCTAGTTTAGAATGCATGATTTAGGCTTAGAGCAATTAAGAAAGTCGTATAAAATAATAATAATAATAATAATAATTATTATTATTATTATTATTATTAGTACGATCGTTAATTACCTTGTATAAAATCGGTTTTTAATTTGACGAAATTATGGACTGTTTCCCCCTACCGATTTTACGCGACTTATGTGCATCATGAGCCTGCTATCTTCCAGTTTCTTGTCTAATTTTCAAGAATCAAAATCCATGTATAAATTATGATCATTGTAGTAGATAACTATTTGTGCATTTCGGTTTCGTGGTGTATTTCTCCATAGGTTTGGTGCGTAATGCACCACTTGGATTTGATGATTTCATGGGGTTTATGTGAAACATGGAGTTGACTTTCATAGCTTATAATGATTAAATTAGTTGCTTGAATCTTAGTTTAATTGGGTCATGGTTTTAATTGATATAATTGATGTTTTGTGAAGTATAGAACGGTTTCGAGGAGTAATATAGAAGTGAGTTGTTGCCTACAATTTGTGTGAAAATAGCATGGGATTATTACTCTGATTATCACTTTAAAAATCATGCTAGGAGTTCATGTCATGTAATGTATTTTCAAGTATTTATTTTGAACTATGAGTAGTGATTAAAATATAAAAATAAAATAAAAATAAAAATTTAATGGAGAATGGAGTAATTAAGTTTTGTAAATGGAGTAATTTTAAAGTAGTGTGTATAGATTGACACACCGAGCAAGGCAGCAACTAGTGTTGCTTGATTCTTTCTCTTTTTTGTTTTTAATAATATGGACTGCCAATATTTATATATATATGTTATAATTTCATCTTAGTTCCTAATTTATATATTGTTTTATATATCAGTGAATCATGTCAACCCTTGCAAAACTCGAATTTGTTGCTCTTGATATTACTGGAAACAATTATCTGTCTTGGGTGTTAGATGCTGAAATACACTTAGATGCAAAGGGACTTGGTGATACTATTAAAGAAAACAATACTGCAACAAGCCAAGATAAGGCTAAAGCTATGATATTCCTTCGTCATCACCTTCATAAAGGCCTTAAGACTGAGTACTTGACTATTAAAGACCCACAAGTCCTTTGGAGTAATCTAAAGGAAAGGTATGACCACCAGAAAACTGTGATATTACCAAAGGCTCGTTATGACTGGTTACATTTAAGATTACAAGACTTTAAGTCTGTGAGTGAATACAACTCAGCCATGTTTAGAATTACATCACAATTGAAATTATGTGGAGAGAAAATCACGGATGCAGAAATGTTAGAAAAAATATTTTCTACTTTTCATGCAAACAATGTTGTCCTGCAGACACAATACCGTGAATAGGGTTTTACAAAATATTCTGATTTGATATCTTGTCTCCTTGTGGCTGAGCAAAGTAATGAACTATTAATGAAAAATCATGAATCACGCCCAACTGGCTCTACTCCATTCCCTAAAGCGAATGTGACATCCCATAGTGGGAAAGGGCAAAAGGCTAGAGATCACGCCAGCAATCGTTGTCGAGGTCGTGGTCGCGGCCGCGGACGCGGACATGATCGTGGTCGAGGTGGTCATTTTAGGAACTCATACTCTCACCAGAATTGGGACAATAAAGATGGAAATAAGAATGAGAAGGATAAATATGAAAATATATGCTACCGTTGTGGAGGAAAAGGCCATTGGTCTCGTGTGTGTCGTACACCAAAACATCTAGTAGACCTTTATCAACAATCAATCAAACAGAAAGGAAAGAAAGTGGAAACAAATTTGGTGTACGAGGATGGCGAAGGTGATTTTGATTACGGTGATACAACTCACCTGGAAGCGGCTGATTTCGCATATTTCATAATTTAATTTAAGTTATTTGATTTAGTGAATCTTATTTTAGTTCCTTTAATTCTATTACAATATGAATCCCTTTGGAGCTCAATCATTGACCAATGGTGAAGATTTATGTCTAGTTAATAGTGCTACCACGCACACCATACTTAAAGATAAGAATATTTTTCACAATTGGTGATGAAAGAGATTAGTGTGAGTACTATATCAGGTAGTACAAGAATTATAGAGCAAATGTATTATTGCCAGGGGAACAAAATTGGAAATTATTGATGCATTATACTCCCATAAGTCTCAAAGATACTAAGTTTTAAAGATATTCAAAAAAATGGATATCATATTGAGACAATTAGTGAAGGAAATAATGAATTCCTTCAAATCACAAGTATAACTCAAGGCAATAAACTTATTATGGAGAAATTACCTACATTCTCCACTGGTTTGTACTATACAAAAATCGATACAATTGAATCACATGCTATAGTAAACCAGAAGTTTACTGATAACTTCAAAGTTTGGCATGACCGGTTAGGCCATCCCGGTTCAATAATGATGCGAAAAATAATCGAAAATTCATGTGGACACTCATTGAAGATCCAGCAGATTCTTCATAATAATTTTTCATGTGCTGCTTGCTCAATAGGAAAATTAATACTCCGACTATCACCAGCTAAAATAAATTCCGAATCAATTACTTTTCTAGAACGTATACAAGGGGATATATGTGGACCAATTCATCCCCCGTGTGGGCCATTTAGATATTTCTTGGTTTTAATAGATGCATCAACTAGATGGTCACACGTATCATTGTTATCAACTCGCAACCTGGCGTTTGCGAGACTACTTGCTCAGTTGATCAGATTACGAGCACATTTTCCAAACTTTCCTATTAAAGCTATTCGTCTTGATAACGTTGGTGAATTCACATCCCATGCCTTTGATGAATATTGCATGTCAATCAGGATTAGTGTTGAACATCCTGTAGCACATGTTCACACACAAAATGGTCTTGAAGAATCATTAATTAAGCGTTTACAATTGATTGCTAGACCATTACTTATGAAATCTAAGCTCCCAATTTCTGCTTGGGGGCATGCTATATTACATGCAGCAGCACTAATTCGCATCAGGCCGACAAGTCATCATAAGTTCTCCCCATCACAATTGGTTTTTGGTCAGGAACCAAATGTATCCCATTTGAGAATATTTGGATGTGCAGTATATGTTCCAATTGCTCCACCACAACGCACTAAAATGGGCCCTCAAAGAAGACTAGGGATATATGTTGGATATGAATCTCCATCGATAATTAAGTACCTAGAGCCGACGACAGGAGATTTATTTACGACTCGTTTTGCAAATTGTCGTTTGGATGAATCAGTTTTTCCAACATTAGGGGGAGAAAATAAATAGCTGCAAAAGGAAATTAGTTGGAATGAATTATCATTATCTCATCTAGATCCTCGTACTAAACAATGTGAATTGGAAATCCAAAAGATAATTCATTTACAAAACTTAGCAAATCAATTGCCAGACTCATTTACTGACCCAAAGAAAGTGACAAAGTCACATATACCAGCTGAAAATGCTCCGATTAAAATTGATGTCCCAGAAGGACAAGCCCAAGTTGCAAGTGATTTTAAAACACGCCTAAAGCGTGGTAGACCCATCGGTTCCAAAGATAAAAACCCTCAGAAGAGAAAAGGAGCAACCATTGACAATGGCCAGACCGAGGAAGCTATAAATTTTGAAGGATCTCCAGAAGAGACCTTAGACATGATGGAAAAGGATATTCAGGTACCTGACAATGAAGACATTTCAACAAATTTTATCATGTCTAGAACTACATGGAACCGAAACCAAATCGACGTCGATGATGTTTTTGCATGCAATGTAGCATTAGATGTCATAAATGATGATGAGGATCATGAGCCAAAATCCATTGATGAATGTAGACAAAGAAGTGATTGGCAAAAATGGAAAGAAGCAATTGAAACTGAATTGAAATCTCTCGAAAAAAGAGTAGTATTCGGACCTGTAGTTCGTACACCTGAAGGTGTAATACCAGTGGGATATAAATGGGGCTTTGTACGAAAAAGAAATGAAATGGTGATATTGTAAGATACAAGGCCCGATTAGTTGCACAAGGATTCTCACAAAGACCCGGTATTGATTATGAGGAGACATACTCTCCCGTGGTGGATGCAACTACTTTTAGATTTCTAATCAGACTTGCAATAAGAGAAGGACTTGATTTACGCTTGATGGATGTAGTCACAACTTACTTATATGGCCCACTGGATAATGATATATACATGAAACTCCCAGAAGGATTTAAACTGCCAGAAGCAGCAAATGGAAGTTCTCGAGAACAGTACTCAATAAAATTGAATAGATCTCTATATGGATTGAAACAATCAGGGCGCATGTGGTATAATTGACTAAGTGAGTACTTGTTGAAAGAAGGGTATAAGAATGACCCTATATGCCCATGCATTTTTATAAAGAGATTTGTATCAGGATATGTCATAATTGTAGTATATGTTGATGATTTAAATATTATTGGAACTCCTGAAGAGATTTCAATAACAATGGAGTGCTTAAAGAAAGAATTTGAAATGAAAGATCTTGGAAAAACTAAATTTTGCTTAGGGTTACAAATTGAACATCTAAAGAATGGAATCCTTGTGCACCAGTCAACATACATAGAAAAGGTTCTTAAGAGATTTTCTATGGATATAGCACATCCACTGAGTAGCCCTATGGTTGTTAGAGCACTTGATGTAGAAAAAGATCCCTTCCAACCTCGGGAGAATGATGAAGAAATTCTTGGTCCTAAAGTACCATATTTAAGTGCAATAGGGGCATTAATGTATCTTGCTAGTCATACACGACCCGACATATCATTTTCAATAAATTTGTTAGCAAGATTTAGCTCATTCCCCACCCGAAGGCATTGGAATGGGGTTAAGCATGTACTTCGTTACCTTCAAGGTACGAAAGATATGGGTTTATTTTTCTCTAACCTATCCAAAGAAGGTTTGATTGGTTTTGCAGATGCAGGGTATATGTCTGACCCTCATAATGCTAGATCACAAACTGGATATGTGTTTATGTGTGGAGGTACTTCTATTTCTTGGCGTTCTATGAAACAAACAATTGCAACTACTTCTTCTAACCATGCAGAAATTCTGGCAATCCATGAGGCTAGTCGTGAATGTGTATGGTTAAGGTATGTAATTCAACATATACAGACATATTGTGGCATAAACTCCGAGAAAGAAGTTCCAACAACTTTATATGAGGATAATGCAGCATGCATCGCCCAGCTTAAGGAAGGGTATATCAAAGGTGATCGAACAAAGCACATTTTACCAAAATTCTTCTACACTCATGATCTACAGAAGAATGGTGATATAAAAGTCCTTAAGATTCGCTCGAGTGAAAACTTGGCAGATTTGTTTACTAAGGCACTCCCATCCGCCACATTAAAAAAGTTAGCTTACGGCATTGGATTGTGTCGTCTTAAAGATCTCAAGTGATATAGTCACGAGGGGGAGTTAATGCGCGCTGCACTCTTTTTTCCTTAACCATGGTTTTTCTCACTGGGTTTTCCTGGTAAGGTTTTTAACGAGGCAGCATCTTATGCGCATTACAAATTATTTTGTACGGGTTTTCTAGTAAATTTTTTTTATCGTTTATAGTCATCCAAGGGGGAGTGTTGTAAAATATCTAAATGTGGATGACTATTATCCCATATATTATCAAGAACATTCTAGAGTTGGGTATTTGATTGTTTCCGATGATGGAACCCTAGATAATATACATGTATATATATCCCCACTCTATGGAATTATAAACTGATATATTCTCTCTCCATCTCTCATATTTTCTTCTTATTTTATAATAAATGTTTGTTTTTAATTTATTGTTGTCTCTTTTTGTATACTACCACTGTTTCTTGTTAATTGCACTAAAGGAGTTTTTATGTCTTACAAATAATACATTTTGTTGCAATTAATAAGAAATGGAGGTAGTATTATAAGGGGTAAGCAAACCGGGTATCCGGTCAAAATTTTAGGATCCGAACCCGGAATTGGTTGGGACTGGGTCCTCAAAATTTGGAACCGGAATTGGAACCGGTACAAACGGGTCCTAAAATTTAGGAATTGGAATTGGTTCCATCGGGTACCGGTTCCGATTTCAGGTACCTACTTATATATATAAGTGTTGAAATATAATACAAATCATAATATTTTTTTTTGGTGTATTTTTACTTTTAGCGTTTAATACTTATATTTTTATATACATTAAGCTATTTTAATTATATTAAATATCAATATTTTTTTTATTTTACTAATTAGTTACGCTCAACATATTTTTGTTTTTTTAAATATATTTTGTACAATATATGTTGGGTAACCGGTATAGTAGAGCGGAGAGAAAAATCTAGAAGTTTTAGGGTTTTGTTTGATAGTGGGTTGAGAGTTTTATAAGAAATTGGGCTTAGAAATTAAAATGGGTTGTACATAACTGTTTAGTTTCTTAAAAACACAAACAATCCACATACTATATCATATATAACCGGGTACCCAGTGGGTACCAGGTCTAAAATTTTAGGATTTGGAACCGGAACCGGTTACAACCGGGTCCGAAATTTTGGACCCGGTTCCGGAACCGGTGAGACCAGTTCTTGGTCCGGACCCGACAGGTCCTAACTGGTTCCGGGTCCGGTATCGGGTATCCTGGATCTTTGCTCACCCTTAACTATAATTAAACTAGCCCTTTTGGCCCGTGCAATGCACGAGTTGTTTATAGATGTACAATATAAAATTTTATTTTATAATATGTTTTGATTGGAAAATGAATAGTTTATAAAGGAGAAAAAGGGGAGAAAATTGAATGTAATTGTGGAAGATATTAAGTTGGGGGAAAGTGAATCAAATAACATTCATACATATCTGTGAGGAGGGTAGCCCGTCGTTGGGGATCCTACTTCCTCTATGTCCATGACC